CGAATATCTTATTAATATCTTCTTTATATTTTTTTAAAGATTAACTAATCTTCTTTACAATAAATAGATATTTTTATCTGGCATTAAACCGATATATAACATATTTTACTAAAATCTTTAGCCTATTAGCTTTTTTTATATCTAATCAATCGGTTTATAGCCAACAGCCTATCGGCCTGCTATTACTATAGGCGATATTAGATAATATGATGATGATATTTTTGATTTCGACCTGTGTTTGATATATAAAAATTTATAAAAATTTGTTTTGTTGCTTAGATTAATATTAATACAGGTTGATATTAATAAGAGTCAACTATACTTTTTCTTATCTAATATAAAGAATTAGGCACTATAGTGCTTTATTGTTCTATATTCGTTATATGCATTTCAGACAAACAAGCTAAAAATCTTTTTTTTTTTATGTGAATTAGATCTTACTAGTATTCACTACAATTTCGAATAAACAATTTTTTTTATTGTAATTGAAGTGCTTAGATTATTGGATGTATAATTTTGAATTTTAATATTCTAGGCATTGAATAAAACAAATTAATAAATTTAACTCTTTAAATATTTGCAAAGTATAAATTAAAAGAATAGTTTAATTATATAAGCTGAGTCTAGAATAAATATATAAAAAACTTACAAGATTAATCATGAACAGTCTTTATTATTTGATTATTTTCTCATCTTTTAATATTATCTTTTGCTTCTAAATAACAACACTGCAATATATCTTTTGCTTTTAAATAATATATTTTACTTCTTTATTCTTAATTTTTCTTAACTTCATTATATCACAATTTATTAGAATTCGATATTAGGTTAGATGTTACTGTAAAAAATATTGTAGTAAAAATTCTAATAGATGTATGGTCGATATGAGAACAAAAAGGCAGCATGAAGGAGAAAAAGCGCATTTTTAAAATAAGTTCACTAAAAGAATAAAAAAAAATAATTATCAAACTAGATATGCTAAAAGCTCAGTACAATCAAAAGATAATGAACAAGATGAACTTAGTTTGAATGATATAAAGTTGGCAATAAGATCTATTAGCTCAAAACAAATAATTATATCTAAAAAAAAAACAAAGACATAATCAATTTTGGTTTCAAGAAAGTCAAAGCAGTACTAAAAATTTAAGCTATACCAAATTAAAGCTTTCGATAATAATAAAAATAAGACAGAATCAAAATCTTTAAAAAATAACAAATTAAAATTTTTAGATAATGACAATAATAATAATAATCATTTTGAGAATAATGAATCTAATAATATAGATAAAGAATATATCAATTACTTTGAGAATAATGGATATAGTAATATAGATAACAAATTTGAGGATAACGAATATGATTATTTTGAAAATAATAATGAGTTTTTGGATAATAGTGATAATATAATAGATAATAATGATAGTGAGAATAATTACTCTGAAGATAAGATATTAATGTCTTTAGATGATTCAAAATTTTATGAAGAAATTGAAGATTTAGAAAGTATTTCAGTTAATCCATTTCAAGCTTCTAATGTTAATTTTAATAAATCTACCTATATTCCTAAGCCTAATATAAATCTTGATGATTTATTGTAGATTCTTATATGGGTTTTTAAATTTCAAGAAAGATTTCAACTATCAAATATAGTAACTGATGCTCTTATTGGTTTTCTTTGTTTAATTTTAAATAATATTGATAAAAACCATTTTGAAAAGTTTCTATCAAATATTGACTTTGCACAGAATATATTAAATTTTAATAAACAGTATAGAACATTTACAGTTTGTTCTAAATATAATAAATTATATAATACAATAAAAATAACACCAAATGATCAACATTCTAATAGTTTTAAATACACACATAAGGAATTTCCAAATCACCCAAAACCAAGTCAGCGAAAATCTTGTGAAGAAGAGCTATTAAAAAAGACTTTAATAATAAAAGGACATGTTTGGTGACTATGAATACAATATCCACTACCAAGTATAAAGTCTCAATTACTTTTAATATATCAACAAGATGAGTTTAATATGTTACTTCAAAAATGGACCAATCAATCTGTAGATAATAATAATTATACAATTTCTGATATCTACAATAAAGAAATTTAGAAAACTTTTTCTTTTCAAATTAATAGTTTAGATAATTCTTATTTTTTCACATCTGAAATAGCAGATCATAATTTAGGAATATTAATTAACCTTGATTAGTTCCAACTATTTAAATCTTCAGCATATAGTTGTGGCGTAATTTATGAAGCTATATATAATCTTTCACATGATATAAAATTTAAAAAAGAAAATATGCTTATACTCAGACTTTTGCCAGGTCTTAATGAGGTTAAGCTTTATAAAATAAACCACTATTTAGTACTAATTATAGATGAATTATTAGAATTATGGAAAGGCATAATATTAACAAATAGCAAAATAATTAGACTTGCAATAATTTGTTGCTCATATGATATTCTAGCAGCAAGAAAGCTATGTGAACATATATCAGCATTATTTGGATGTCACCAAAGTTATGAACAAATATCTAGAACAAATAAAAAAAATAAAAAAGAAAATAAAAAAAAGGTAAAGATAAAAATGATTATGAAAAATCAAAAAATCAGCTCCAATCATGTGATTTACACAAACATATAAAGAATGCTCTAGCATAGTTGCAATGTACAACAGAAGAATAGCGAAAAAACTATGTTTCTAATACATATATTAGATGGACAAAGCTTCTTCGATTGCTATATTATAATCCAATTAGGCATTTGGTTATTGATTCTATGCATTGTCTGTTTCTTGGAATTACACAGTGGATTATAAAGAAGCTTTGGATTGATAAAGGAAAAATAACTAAAAATCTGATCTTCAAGTAATAGCTAATCATACAAAAAAATTACAATTACCTATAGATTTAGGAAGAATACCTAATAAAATTGCAACCAGAGATAGATTTTCAGAATTTACTGCAGATCAGTGGAAATCTTTTATTTTATACTATACAATGGCAATAATGTGAGATCTTTTAGAAGATTCTAATTGAAAAATTTTAGCTAATTTTGTTAAAGCTTGTACTTTGCTTGTATTGCATATTATTATTAAAAATATATTAGATAAGGCAAATTATCGATTGCGAACAGTTGCTCAACTAGTTGAAGAATATTATAGATCAGAAGCAATAACACCTAATATTCTTTATATAGTTAAATGTTGTTTAGATTATGGTCCTTTGTATTCATATTAGTATTATTCATTCGAAAGAATGAATAGTGTTCTAAGATCATATAAGAATAGTAAGCATCAAATAGAAGCAAAGCTACTAAAAATTATAATACAAACCTGGCAATTAGAATATTTAATTACTAATTCAAATCATAGTGAATTATTAACAGCACTTCAATTACTTACTCCACATTCTATTGTTGGAAGTTTGGCAATGAATGATAATTTTGAAACTGCTGAATTGCATTAATTTTTAATAATGTATAACACAGATTGAATGAAGACATATCAGGATATATATAGCTATAGAAATATCAGATCCATATCGGGATTCCAATATGGATCTGATATTAGTAAAGATAAATCGGGCAAATATAGCAAGATATAATATTCATATCAGAAGATTAAAATATAACAAAATGATGCTATAGGTAAGAGAAATTAATCAGAAATAAATCAGTGAATATCGATAGTTATATCAGTAATTCGAAAGTTGCTTGGTATTGTATTTATAAGCATCATTAAATTTAATTGCAATTAAACAATATTGGTAAGATATCAATACTACCGATAGTTCTATCGTTAATTCGAAAGTTGTCTAATATTGTACTTATAAACATCAATAAATTTAATTGCTATGAAACAATATTGGAAAAGGTATCATATTTTTTATAATTTTATATAAGAAATTTTCTATTAACAGAGATAACTGATATATATTCTCTCAGAGATTTTTTTCTGACTTTAACTGTCCTCGAAATAAACCAACCTAAAATATTGTGCACCAGAATTATGCAATTTCTACTTAAACTATAGAAATCTTTATTCCATAATTCAACATTACAAATATTATCAATTTGACAATGAAATCTTGTCTTTCGGTCGTTAACAGCACAGTACCATCTGACAAATGCTAGTACGTGCTTCTTTGGACCTTCCGGTAGTTGTATTTTGTGTTTAAAATAATACTGTACAATGCCCGGATATATATTGGTTGAATTGTCTTCTAATATGAACTTAGTGAGTATTTTGGCCGACTTTTTATGTCTCTTTGAGTAAATAGACCCAAAAACTTCATCACCAATCTTTATCCTTCCATGAATAGTTACAGTGAGTAATACCGGTATAGCTTCCAAATTACCTATATTAATTTCAGCTAAAGAAAGGAAGTTATAATTATATACATTATTATTGTCCGGAGCATAGCATAGAACTCACATGTTTATACGCTTTGATAACTGAAATTACTATTTTGATGCAACTATAATAAAAATATCAATAATGTAGTTTCGGTATTTTCTATTTGTAACGCCACATGTCTAAATTTGAATATTCGTGTAATGACAACATAAAAACAAATCTTTTACGTGACAATATTACATTCGCCTAATTGGCGAATGTAAAATCTGAGTAACTTATTCTGGTACATGTTACCTTTGTTAATATCAACATATTTGAATTGGTTTTAAATTATGTTAATAGTGATATTAACGGAATTTGATATAAAATTTTGATTTGTGGCTTAGGTTGATATTAACGATACATGTAAAATTGTAATTTATGTATCACAGATTTGGATCTTTTTTTTTAATCTATGTTTTTGTTAGAAACCGGGTAGTAAAGATTTGAATTGGGACCGGGATTTATAAGATTAGTGGTTTTTTTCTTTTTTATCTCTTCTTTAAGTTAATATTTCTTATACTTTGATACTTCTTTTTTTTGTAGCTTTAATTTATTGGAAAGCCGGATTGCGGAGATTAGAACTAGGAGCTTTGAAGATATGTTGTTTTTTCTTTTTTTTTTGTTTTCTTTCTTTGATCTATTACTAACTTTATTTTTTTTGTAGGTTTGCTTTGTTTGAAAACTGGGTGGGTAGTGGGGATTAAGATCCGGATCTTGTGAGATAAGTGATTTCGACATTTGATTTTTTTTTTTTTTGTCTGACCTATTACTAACTTTATTTTTTAACTTTATTTTTCCATAGGTTTGTAAGATCCGGATCTTGTGAGATAAATGATTTCATCGTTTGATTTTTTTTTTTTGTCTTTTTCAGCTTTTTTGGATGTTATCGTTTATTGATAAGAAGATTCTAAGCTTGTGTTATCATTTATGGGCTTTTGTCGATTCGTCGTTGTCAGTGATTTCAATCTTTCGCCATTTCAGTACTGTCGCTTGTGGAGACTCCAGACTTTCATTGTTTTGGTAATTTATTTCACTAACTCTTTTTAGATGGGTTGGATGTGATTTAGTTATTTACTGCCTTTTTTTTGCATAGGTATCGTCAGAACGTGGAACCAGCGTTAAGAATGACATTTTGGTAAGTTTTGCTAAAACGTAGAATCAGTGCTGGGAACAGTACTTTGGTTTTAAGTTTTTTTTTTTTCTTTGTTCTATTTGTTGTTAATTTCTTCGATAATTCTTTTTTTTTTTTAGGTCCATATAGGTTTTGACAGAATGTAGAATTAGCACCAGAAGCAGCACTTTGATCTTAAGATATGTTTTTTTTTAGTTTGCTTTTTCTTTTTTAATATTTTTTTTTTAGGTTTGTATAGGTCTTGCTAAAATTCGTCGAATTAACAAGAGTGACACTAGCTCAAAACGTTGAGTTAGTGCCACAAGATACTTTGTAGTTTTATGTAGTTATCTTTTAGATGTGTTTTTTTGTTAGATTTTAGATTTTTTTTTTTTTTTTAAATTAGAATATTATTTTTTTTTTTTTGTTAGAGCGCGAAAGTGGTAACAGGCCCAGGATTATTATATTATTACTGTATTATTGTGTAATTAATAAATTAGACTTTTTAATAAAAAATTAGGTCATTTTTTCAAATTCGAATTAATCACTAAGTGTTACCTGTTGTTTTACTTCCGGTTTAAATTTATATACTGGATGTAATATAAAGCTAAAGATAATATATAGGCAGCTAATAATTTAACAATGAAGTAAGTTCTACTGGGTGTTTGATAGGTCCTATCAAAGACTTATCAAACACCCAGTATAACTGATAAAGGACACCCTAATAAATTACCCATAAATCACTTACTATAGTACCCGGGTGCTAATTACAGAAGGTGGGTACTATACTAAATGTTTTAAAAGTTCCAGTCTTTATAAAGTTATATAAAAAAAAAGGACCGTTTAGTGGAACTTTTGAAACATCCAAATGTATTCTTGCGCCATGATCCATAATAAAAAATGCGTCTACCCTATTTGTCAACGGTTCTAGCATAATAATCTATAATGGTTTTATTACAGAATTCTGACAATTCATCATGATTAGGATCATAATTGATTTAGTGATTTATTTTTTTTCGATTCTTCAAAATGAAAAGCGATTGTTGCAATCTCGACAAACCAAGTGATTCTTTAAAAG